AGTCTAGTCTATAGTCTAGTCTATAGTCTAGTCTATAGTCTAGTCTATAGTCTAGTCTATAGTCTAGTCTATAGTCTAGTCTATAGTCTAGTCTATAGTCTAGTCTATAGTCTAGTCTATAGTCTAGTCTAGTCTATAGTCTAGTCTATAGTCTAGTCTATAGTCTAGTCTATAGTCTAGTCTATAGTCTAGTCTATACTCTGGTCTATACTCTAGTCTATACTCTAGTCTATACTCTGGTCTATACTCTAGTCTATACTCTGGTCTATAGTCTAGTCTGTAGTCTAATCTATAGTCTAATCTATAGTCTAATCTATAGTCTAGTCTATAGTCTAGTCTATAGTCTAGTCTATAGTCTAGTCTATAGTCTAGTCTATAGTCTAGTCTATACTCTAGTCTATACTCTGGTCTATAGTCTAGTCTATAGTCTAGTCTATAGTCTAGTCTATAGTCTAGTCTATAGTCTAGTCTATAGTCTAGTCTATAGTCTAGTCTATAGTCTAGTCTATAGTCTAGTCTATGTCTAGTCTATAGTCTAGTCTATAGTCTAGTCTATAGTCTAGTCTATAGTCTAGTCTATAGTCTAGTCTAGTCTAGTCTATAGTCTAGTCTATAGTCTAGTCTATAGTCTAGTCTATAGTCTAGTCTATAGTCTAGTCTATAGTCTAGTCTATAGTCTAGTCTATAGTCTAGTCTATAGTCTAGTCTATAGTCTAGTCTATAGTCTAGTCTATAGGTCTAGTCTATAGTCTAGTCTATAGTCTAGTCTAGAGTCTAGTCTATAGTCTAGTCTATAGTCTAGTCTATAGTCTAGTCTATAGTCCTAGTCTATAGTCTAGTCTATAGTCTAGTCTATAGTCTAGTCTATAGTCTAGTCTATAGTCTAGCTATAGTCCTAGTCTATAGTCTAGTCTATAGTCTAGTCTATAGTCTAGTCTATAGTCTAGTCTATAGTCTAGTCTATAGGTCTAGTCTATAGTCTAGTCTATAGTCTAGTCTATAGTCTAGTCTATAGTCTAGTCTATCGTCTTAGTCTATAGTCTAGTCCTATAGTCTAGTTCTATAGTCTAGTCTATAGTCTAGTCTATAGTCTAGTCTATAGTCTAGTCTATACTCTAGTCTATACTCTGGTCTATACTCTAGTCTATACTCTAGTCTATACTCTGGTCTATACTCTAGTCTATACTCTAGTCTATAGTCTAGTCTATAGTCTAGTCTGTAGTCTAATCTATAGTCTAATCTATAGTCTAGTCTATTGTCTAGTCTATAGTTTAGTCTATAGTCTTGTCTATAGTCTAGTCTATAGTCTAGTCTATAGTCTAGTCTATAGTCTAGTCTATAGTCTAGTCTATAGTCTAGTCTATAGTCTAGTCTATAGTCTAGTCTATAGTCTAGTCTATAGTCTAGTCTATAGTCTAGTCTATAGTCTAGTCTATAGTCTAGTCTATAGTCTAGTCTATAGTCTAGTCTATAGTCTAGTCTATAGTCTAGTCTATAGTCTAGTCTATAGTCTAATCTATAGTCTAGTCTATAGTCTAGTCTATAGTCTAGTCTATAGTCTAGTCTATAGTCTAGTCTATAGTCTAGTCCATAGTCTAGTCTATAGTCTAGTCTATAGTCTAGTCCATAGTCTAGTCTATAGTCTAGTCTATAGTCTAGTCTATAGTCTAGTCTATAGTCTAGTCTATAGTCTAGTCTATAGTCTAGTCTATAGTCTAGTCTATAGTCTAGTCTATAGTCTTCTATAGTCTAGTCTATAGTCTAGTCTATAGTCTAGTCTAGTCTATAGTCTAGTCTATAGTATAGTCTATAGTCTAGTCTATAGTCTAGTCTATAGTCTAGTCTATAGTCTAAATAGAATATAGAATATAGAAAAGTCTAGTCTTTAGTCTATTCTATAGTCTAGTCTATAGTCTAGTATATAGTCTAGTCTATAGTCTAGTCTATAGTCTAGTCTGTAGTCTAGTCTATAGTCTAGTCCATTGTCTAGTCTATAGTCTAGTCTATTTTATACTCTATTATAGTCTTTTCTATATTATATTTTATAGTCTATTCTATAATATAGTCTATAGTCTAGTCTTTAGTCTAGTCTATTATAGTCTTTTTCTATATTCTATTCTATAGCCTATTTAGTCTATAGTTTAGTCTATAGTTTAGTCTATAGTCTAGTTTATAGTCTATTCAATAGTCTATTCTATATTCTATTCTATAGTCTATTCTATAATCTATTCTGTAGTCTAGTCGATAGTCTACTTTTGAATGAAAAAAAGCGTAGAGTTTTTTTCAGAATGGGGCTAATCGCTATAAATTTTTTTTTATAAATTTACTTAGTTTTCACTGTTAAAAGTTAGATAATGCTCGCTTTGTCTATTGTCAGGTGTATTAAGTTTATAGCAAAAAAAAATCTTGACTTGTATACGTCATTATTTATAAAGAATTTGATTTTTTTGTTTATAAACAAAATGTGGGTTGCTCATTAAATTATTAATAAAGACTCATACAAAATATCCACTCATAAGTGTTTGATAATCAAACTAGTGTTATTGATCACTTTATCAAAGTTGTAATATTTCCAACACCAACGTTAAAATGAAGTGTTTATGAATGAAAAATTTAATGTTTATTAATTTTATATCAAATTTACTATTAATATTTTGTTTCAAGAGAATTTAAAGTGTAATATAAGCAACCAACCGGGAATGATTTTTATAAGATGAATCAATTTGAAAGTATTTTTTTTTTTTTTTTTGCAAAATTATGCATAATGGTTTGGCGAAATGTATTATTATATCATCATATTTCTTATTCTAAAATAAATATCACGTTTTTTTGTTTATTTATTTTAATTTGTTATTCAGCAAATACTGCTGAAATCCTAATGTTTCATATAAAATTTATAAAAACAATAACATCATCAGCATCCACTTGTTAATTTAAATAAAAATTATATTTATAGAAATTTTACGTTAAATAAATATTTATAAAAAAAACTATGTAGCTGAAACTTATATTTTACTACTACATAATTTGGTTTTTCTTTAAATTTTCCGGCAAATATAAATAAAACATTCATGTATTGACGTCAGCAAAATTTAAGTAAAAAACATATTGCGTTAATTTACAAAAAATTTCAAAAAATTTAATTAAAAGAAAAATATCTTGAAATTGACCAAACATCAGAAAAAACACTAATGAGTAAAGAATAACAGCATGATAAGCTATTTCAAAGTTAGTTATTAAGATTGAACTGGTCAATATTAAAGTACATATTTCGCATTCGCTATGCTGTGTCTCTCTAGTCCCTGATTATGTTCTTCAGTCATGGACATGATTACCTTGATGCCTTGATTTATATATAAATTTGGCGATCTGGAACCTGCTATTGTCTATTATACGGTCTATGTAGAACTAGTCTACTGAACTAGTCTTTGGACTGCTCTATTGACTAATCTACAAATTTGTAAACTAGTCTATGTATTATTTTAATAGCTAGTCTATGATCTAATCCATTGAGTCGTCTATGATCTAATCTATTGACTAGTTTATAGACTAGTCTTACACTATTCAATAGACTAGTGTATGGACTAGTCTATTAACTAGATCATTGACTAATCTATGAAATAGAATATTGACTGGGGTATGATCTAATTGACTAGTCTATGGACTAGTCTGTTGACTAGTTTATTGACTTGTTTATTAATTTGTCTATGGTCTAGTCTATGAACTTATCTATGGTCCAATCTAGTCAATAGATTGAATTATGAATTAGTCCATGGTGTAGTCTACTTAATAGTCTATGGACCACTGTATGGATCAGTATATTAAAAAATCTATAGTATAGTCTATTTATATATAAATTTGGCGATCTGGAACCTGCTATTGTCTATTATATGGTCTATGTAGAACTAGTCTACTGTATAGTCTTTGGACTAGTCTATTGTACCAGTCTGTAAACTAGTTTATGTATTATTTTACTGTCTATGATCTAATCCATTGAATCGTTTATGAACTAGTCTTACACTATTCAATAGACTAGTCTATGGACTAATATATTAACTAGATCATTGACTAGTCTATGAAATATAATATTGATTGGGGTATGATCTAATCTATTGACTAGTCTATGGACTAGTCTGTTGACAAGTTTATTGACTTATTTATTAATTAGTCTATGGTCTAGTCTATGGACTAATCTTTGGTCCATTCTATTGACTAGTCTATGAAATAGTCCATGGTCTACTCTACTTATTAGTCTATGGACTAGTGTATGGACCAGTCTATTAAATAGTCAATAGTATAGTATATTTATATATAAATTTGGCGATCTGGAACATGCTATTGCCTATTATATGGTCTATATAGAACTAGTCTACTGAATAGACTTTGGACTAGTCTATTGACTAATCTACTAGTCTATTAACTAGATCATTGAATAGTCTATTAAATAGAATATTGGCTGGGGTATGATCTAATCTATTGACTAGTCTATGGACTAGTCTGTTGACTAGTTTATTGACTCGTTCATTAATTAGTCTATGGACTAATCTATGGTCCAATCTATTGACTAGTCTATGAATTAGTCCATGTTCTAGTCTACTTATTATACTAATGTATGGACCAGTCTATTAAATAGTCTATAGTATAGTCTATTGGCAAGTCTATGGACTAGTCCATTGACTAATCTATGGACTAGTTCATTGACTAATCTGTGGACTAGTTCATTAACTAATCTATGGACTAGTCTCTGGACTACTGATAAGTCTATTAATTAGTCTATTAACTAATCTATTGACTAGTCTCTGAATTAGTCTATGGACTAGTGATTAGTCTATGGATTATCCTATTTACAAGATTGACAAGTCTATGGATTAAACTATTGACTGGTCTACGGATTTGTATATTAACTATTCTAGTCTATGGAATATGGTCCAATCTACTGACTAGTCCATAAACCATTCTATTAACTGGTCTAATTTTTAAATATTTTTAGAAATATAATTTTTTATAAAAATAATAAATTATTTAAATTTTTTGCAGTTTTAAACTAATAAACACAAAATGGCTGGCCCTTTATTGAAATCTTGCTGCTTTTGCCAATCCACCCGTAATGGCTCTATCATCTCCGGTATCTTGGCCATTATATTATCCATCATTACCATTATATTGATTTTCACCACCAGAGTACAATTCAAAACAATCGTATTCGATTGGATTCCAACAGAAATTGTTAAAATTATTTTGGTTATCAATCTTTGTATGACCATATTAATATCTCTGCTAATGATAGCGGGTGTTATAAAGGTAAAACTATATCTAGTTTATATATCTGAAACCAATTTTAATACAAAATTTTATCTTTTCTAGCGCAATCATTATCTAATGATGCCCTGGGTGGTATTGGGTATTATGATTGCCATCGGTTTATTAGTATCTGTCATTTACACAGCTGTTGTCTTCTTTATTGATGGTTTCGTATTGACTGGTGTCTTGTGGCTGGTATTTGGTTTGATTGCATGTGGTAAGTGGTGTCGTAAGAAAACTAATCATTTCATTCTTTTCAATCATTTTAAGTTTTTTCGAAAACTTTTTATAGGTTAAGTGGTTTTAGAAAAATCATATGTAGAGCGAACAGTTGTGTTCATTTGTTGTAGGAGCAACAGTTATTGTATTTCAATTATATGAATAGTACTTACTAAACGTAACTTAAATTTAATATAATGAGGTTTTCTTTTGGACATGCCTATTGTTGAAATGTAGTGCAAATGTATAAAATTACTTTAGTATACAAGTACTAATGAGAAATGTTTTTATGGTAGAAAAACTATGAAGTTTATTTTAAAGGAAATTTTCAAGCAAGTAGTGATAGTATCGTATGTATAACTGTCATAAATGTGGTTTATTTATGGTTAGAGAAATTGCATTTCATTTTACTAAAATTGTGCAAAAAGTAAAAATTTATATTTTGTTGCACAACATGTGTTAATATACTTATTTGAATTAAACACAATTATTGGAATGTTGAAGCCAATTTTTTGAAAAGTACATACACCAAACATTTTTAATCCAGAGACTAATGTATACTTTCCTAAAGTATTGAGTTGCTCAGATTCCGAACATAGAGACAGGAATTTGAGATATCGTGTCATAAAATTTGAAAAACCATCATTTTTGACAATATTTGAGCCATTATCACAACGCGAGAGAGAACGGAGCTTTTCTGAGTTATATGAGCATATTAGTTAGTTAGTTAGTTAGTTAGTTAGTAGTTAGTTAGTCAGTCAGTAGTTAGTAGTAGTTAGTTAGTAGTTAGTTTAGTTAGTTAGTTAGTTAGTAAGTTAGTTAGTTAGTTAGTAGTTAGTTAGTAGTTAGTTAGTTAGTTAGTTAGTTAGTTAGTTAGTTAGTTAGTTAGTTAGTTGTTAGTTAGTTAGTTAGTTAGTTAGTTAGTTAGTTAGTTAGTAGTTAGTTAGTTAGTTAGTTAGTTAGTTAGTTAGTTAGTTAGTTAGTTAGTTAGTTAGTTAGTTAGTTAGTTAGTTAGTTAGTTAGTTAGTTAGTTAGTTAGTTAGTTAGTAGTTAGTTAGTTAGTTAGTTAGTTAGTAGTTAGTTAGTTAGTTAGTTAGTTAGTTAGTTAGTTAGTAGTTAGTTAGTTAGTTAGTTAGTTAGTTAGTTAGTTAGTTAGTTAGTTAGTTAGTTAGTTAGTTAGTTAGTTAGTTAGTTAGTTAGTTAGTTAGTAGTTAGTTAGTTCGTTAGTTAGTTAGTTCGTTAGTTAGTTAGTTAGTTAGTTAGTTAGTTAGTTAGTTAGTTAGTTAGTTAGTTAGTTAGTTAGTTAGTTAGTTAGTTAGTTAGTTAGTTAGTTAGTTAGTTAGTTAGTAGTTAGTTAGTTAGTTAGTTAGTTAGTTAGTTAGTTAGTTAGTAGTTAGTTAGTTAGTTAGTTAGTTAGTAGTTAGTTAGTTAGTTAGTTAGTTAGTTAGTTAGTTAGTTAGTTAGTTAGTTAGTTAGTTAGTTAGTTCGTTAGTTAGTTAGTAGTTAGTTAGTTAGTTAGTTAGTTAGTTAGTTAGTTAGTTAGTTAGTTAGTTAGTTAGTTAGTTAGTTAGTTAGTTAGTTAGTTAGTTAGTTAGTTAGTTAGTTAGTTAGTTAGTAGTTAGTTAGTTAGTTAGTTAGTTAGTAGTTAGTTAGTTAGTTAGTTAGTTAGTTAGTTAGTAGTTAGTTAGTTAGTTAGTTAGTTAGTTAGTTAGTTAGTTAGTTAGTTAGTTAGTTAGTTAGTTAGTAGTTAGTTAGTTAGTTAGTTAGTTAGTTAGTTAGTAGTTAGTTAGTTAGTTAGTTAGTTAGTTAGTTAGTTAGTTAGTTAGTTAGTTAGTTAGTTAGTTAGTTAGTTAGTTAGTTAGTTAGTTAGTTAGTTAGTTAGTTAGTTAGTTAGTTAGTTAATTAGTTAGTAGTAGTTAGTTAGTTAGTTAGTTAGTTAGTTAGTTAGTTAGTAGTTAGTTAGTTAGTTAGTTAGTTAGTGTTAGTAGTTAGGTAGTTAGTTAGTTAGTTAGTTAGTTAGTTAGTTAGTAGTAGTAGTTAGTTAGTTAGTTAGTTAGTTAGTTAGTTAGTTAGTTAGTTAGTTAGTTAGTTAGTTAGTTAGTTAGTTAGTTAGTTAGTTAGTAGTTAGTTAGTTAGTTAGTTAGTAGTTAGTTAGTTAGTTAGTTAGTTAGTTAGTAGTTAGTTAGTTAGTTAGTTAGTTAGTTAGTAGTTAGTTAGTAGTTAGTTAGTTAGTTAGTTAGTAGTTAGTTAGTTAGTTAGTTAGTTAGTTAGTTACATTTCACCAAATCACTTTTCTATTTTAATTCCCAGATATTAGAAAATACTTCCAAAACTTCATCAGCCTAAAAGTATACCGAAAAAAACGAAATAACATAATAACAGTACACTCTATCGAAATAAGTACACTAATTTAATATTATGTTTATCTTCTTCCACAGCCATTTTAACCTACTGCTGGTGTGTTGTATACAGTGAATATACAATTCTCGCTGAAGAAAACGAAAGAGGGCGCTACAACAAGCAACCTTATAGACGTTAAGTTTTTTAAGAACTTTAAAACTAAACTTAATTTTTAATATTAACAATTTTAATATTTATTATTTTCTTTTATAATGAATTTATTATTAAGCCAAAACTAAACACAACTGATTAATTTTAATTGAAAAGTTATAAACAATATATTTTTTAATAAAAAAAAGTAATAAAAATTTATGTTAAAATGTAAACTAATAAACTAGAGCAGTGCGTTATTTACTGTTTTTTTAACCAAAATTTAAGAAACCCGAAACAAACTTGATGGAAATTAGCAAAATCAAAATCCAAAAAAACTGTTCTTTAAAATGTTTATTTTAGGTCATATGTATGTATGGTTTATATTTTGTATTGAGCTCTACTGGTTTTATATTTATGAATGTATATTTTTTAGCTAAATTTATTTTATAAATTCTTGATATTACTTTTTTTTGTAATTTATTTCGCACTACTTATATTTGTATGTAATTTGTTTTGATATCTTGCATCAAAAATTCGAATAAAAATAAAACTCAGAAATTGTTTTTAATATTTTTTAATGATGTGTTATGGTGTTTTATTTAATTAGAAAATATGTATAGTTTTTTCTGTTTTTGAAAAAAAGAACAAAACCAATTATTAAATAACTTAAATGCAACTTAAGATTTTTTTTTTATAAATAACTGCATCCTTTTGTGGGATACAACAAAAAAAGTTGTGTATGTTTGTGTTTTTATGTTTTTATTTAACTAATTCAAGTCTTTTTTTTTAATTGTGATTTATGTTTGTGATTTAATCTTATAATTCAGTTTTAACATATTTGGGTTTCAGTTCTTCTATTCTTTTAATAAAATCGGTCTTTTCCAAACAACCGTCACATTCTTCATCCCAATCGTTGAGAATTTTCTTCAAGTCACGTACTTTGAGCTTTTTCAAATCGACAGCATTCAAGTCAATTTGTTTTTCTGGAAAAAAAAATTATAAGAAATTAGTAAAATTGATATTAATGTAATTTGGAGTTAATGTTTTAAAAGTTAATTGCAATGATTGGTGCCTGAATATTTTAATCCATGACAGTTTTTTAAGTAGTCAATGTATTCCTTTTAGGCATATTTTCCTAAGGCGTTATTCATTATGAAAACTTGTACACCCAAAAGTCATTATAAATAAGGACGTTAATGTCTAACTTATGCAAAAGTTAAAATATGTTGGAATTATGCGTTTTATAGAAATAGTAAAAAACGGATGATCTTTAGAAGACTTCTTACACATTATTCTCATAGATTTGGATGAATGATATGAATTTTCAGCAAACAGGTCAACTTTTGTTATTAACTTTATAAATAATTTGACCCTCTTTTAATGTAATACGTTTTATCAATAGTCTATAGTTTAGTCTAGTCTATAGTCTAGTCTATAGTCTAGTCTCCAGTCTAGTCTATAGTCTAGTCTATAGTCTAGTCTATAGTCTAGTCTATAGTCTAGTCTATAGTCTAGTCTATAGTCTAGTCTATAGTCTAGTCTATAGTCTAGTCTATAGTCTAGTCTATAGTCTAGTCTAGTCTATAGTCTAGTCTATAGTCTAGTCTATAGTCTAGTCTATAGTCTAGTCTATAGTCTAGTCTATAGTCTAGTCTATAGTCTAGTCTAGTCTAGTCTATAGTCTAGTCTATAGTCTAGTCTATAGTCTAGTCTATAGTCTAGTCTATAGTCTAGTCTATAGTCTAGTCTATAGTCTAGTCTATAGTCTAGTCTATAGTCTAGTCTATAGTCTAGTCTATAGTCTAGTCTATAGTCTAGTCTATAGTCTAGTCTATAGTCTAGTCTATAGTCTAGTCTATAGTCTAGTCTATAGTCTAGTCTATAGTCTAGTCTATAGTCTAGTCTATAGTCTAGTCTATAGTCTAGTCTATAGTCTAGTCTATAGTCTAGTCTATAGTCTAGTCTATAGTCTAGTCTATAGTCTAGTCTATAGTCTAGTCTATAGTCTAGTCTATAGTCTAGTCTATAGTCTAGTCTATAGTCTAGTCTATAGTCTAGTCTATAGTCTAGTCTATAGTCTAGTCTATAGTCTAGTCTATAGTCTAGTCTATAGTCTAGTCTATAGTCTAGTCTATAGTCTAGTCTATAGTCTAGTCTATAGTCTAGTCTATAGTCTAGTCTATAGTCTAGTCTATAGTCTAGTCTATAGTCTAGTCTAGTCTAGTCTAGTCTAGTCTAGTCTAGTCTATAGTCTAGTCTATAGTCTAGTCTAGTCTAGTCTATAGTCTAGTCTATAGTCTAGTCTAGTCTATAGTCTAGTCTATAGTCTAGTCTATAGTCTAGTCAATTGTGTAGTCTGTAGTCTAGTCTATAATTTAGTCTGTAGTCTAGTATATAGGCTAGTCTATAGTCTAATCTATAGTCTTGTCTATAGTCTAGTCTATACTCTATTCTATAGTCTAGTCAATAGTCTGGTGTAGTCTATAGTCTAGTTTATAGTATGGTCTAGTCTATAGTCTAGTTTATAGTCTGGTGTAGTCTATAGTCTAGTTTATAGTCTGGTGTAGTCTATAGTCTAGTTTATAGTATGGTCTAGTCTATAGTCTAGTCTAGTCTACAGTCTAGTATAGATTCTAGTCTATAGTCTAGTCTATAGTCTAGTCTATAGTCTGGTCTATAGTCTAGTCCATATTCTAGTCTATAGTCTAGCCTATAGTCTAGTCTATAGTCTAGTCTATAGTCTAGTCTATAGTCTAGTTTATAGTCTAGTCTATAGTCTAATCTATAGTCTAGTCTATAATCTACCATCCACTGACACAGATACAAAAATTTAGGAGTAGTAACGGTTACACTACTTTAATAAACTCAAAATATTTGCATTATACTGTCTGTAACAGGAAATTTAACGATTCATCCCCTTTTTATAACTATTTTATAATCTGAAAATAATCTAAATTAGAATCCGCAATTCAATTTCAAAGTCGAGATATAGAAAATCTGCATTTCCTGCACTATTAGTTTGTTAATCAAATGGGCACAATTTGAAGTAGTGTCTCCGCTAACTTAGCTGTTTTAACAATTGCACCGTTTTCTTTCATAACAAAATATTTACAAATATTTCTTAAAAAAAAACTTACCATAACGTAAATCACAAATTTGAGCATCTTTCTTCTTCAATTTCTCACAAACTTTATCGGCAGGCATAGACCAACTTAAGGGTTTAGACATTTCATTCAATATACCAGTGGCAGATTCTTCCAAACCACCCAAGTAGTAACACTAATTGATGAAAAAACAAAACGAACATTAACATAAAAATCATGACGTGTTTAAAAAATTAACTAAAAACACAAAAACAAAACACTTACGAATCTTTGTTCTTTATTCTTTTGTGTTTTACAGAACTTTTTAAATTCGGCCTCAATCAATTTGTAGTCTTTTTTGGTGGCATCAGTTAAAGTGTCAGCAAAACGTCTAACAGTTTTGATACAAACTAAAAAATTAATAAAAAGATAAAGTTAAACAGACATTAAATATATTTTAAGGCTGTGAAATTAAAAATGGGACACACAACAGGTTTATTAAAAAAGTAAAATTACCTTCACAGTCTTCTTCTTTTAAGGCCCAGGATGTTTGGGCTAAAACAGCCACGCCGACTAACATTAAATAAACTAGTTGGGATTTCATGTCTAAAATTAAACAAATCAAAGAGTATTAGGTTATTTTTAACATCAATAACTAAATTTCATTTAAATTTATTATTCAACTTATTAATTTATGACCATGTTAAGAATTTTTAGGCTACGTAAGCTAAAATAAAAATTTTCCTTTTTACACATCACTATTTTATGTTACAAATACACACAGAAATTAATTAATTTATCATTTTTCCACTTAGTGTAACACTTACTTGTTTTATTTTGTTCAATAAATATTTAAAATTCTAGTAATTTCCAATTAATTTACAAATATTTGTTATAACAAATTTCTAATAAATGCTTCTTCAACCGGTGAAAAAATTGAATTAAATAAAAGCAGATAAAAAATGACACGAAAAACTACACTTCTCTTTGAAAAGAGAGCAAATAGTTAAAATGAGCACACCAGACTACCAAGTCAATTAAAATGAAAAATAACGCCTTTGCTTTCAAATAAATTCTCCAATTAATTTTAAATTTAAAACCGATTTTTTATACAATTTTAAACCATAACTTGTTTTATTTTATTTCAATGTGATTAATGAGACCTAATTATATAAAACAATTTTGGTTTTAATTCATAAAATTTCTGAATTAATACTAGTTAATATAATTTAATATATAATTTAATTTCTGTCCGTCTTTGTAGTCTTACAAAGTTTTAAATTTTCTCTTTAACCACGAATTGCTTTGCGATTGGTTGATTTTGGCTACGTCAATTATTGAGCAAGGTTACCAGATCGCATCTTATATTTGTTGACATTTAGGAAGTGTTTTGGTAGAAAATGTTGGCCTTGAAGAATAAACCGGATGTGTGGAAAATAAGTTATTTTCAAATTTCGAAAAAGTTGAAATACTTTCAAAATTGCCATCAATAAAATGTGTGATTTGACTATAGTTTTACTATTATGTTAACAGTTGTCTACACTATAAATAGATTGCATTATAATCTAGTTCAGTTCTAGTTCAGTTCTAGTTCAGTTGTAGTTCAGTTCAGTTCTAGTTCAGTTCTAGTTCAGTTCTAGTTCAGTTCTTCAGTTCTAGTTCAGTTCAGTTCTAGTTCAGTTCTAGTTCAGTTCTAGTTCAGTTCTAGTTCAGTTCTAGTTCAGTTCTAGTTCAGTTCTAGTTCAGTTCTAGTTCAGTTCTAGTTCTAGTTCAGTTCTAGTTCAGTTCAGTTCAGTTCTAGTTCAGTTTACAGTTCTAGTTCAGTTCTAGTTCAGTTCTAGTTCAGTTCTAGTTCAGTTCTAGTTCAGTTCTAGTTCAGTTCTAGTTCAGTTCTAGTTCAGTTCTAGTTCAGTTCTAGTTCAGTTCCAGTTCAGTTCTAGTTCAGTTCTAGTTCAGTTTTGGTTCAATTCTAGTTCAGTTCTAGTTCAGTTCTAGTTCAGTTCTAGTTCAGTTCTAGTTCAGTTCTAGTTCAGTTCTAGTTCAGTTCTAGTTCAGTTATAGTTCAGTTCTAGTTCAGTTCTAGTTCAGTTCTAGTTCAGTTCTAGTTCAGTTCTAGTTCAGTTCTAGTTCAGTTCTAGTTCAGTTCTAGTTCAGTTCTAGTTCAGTTCTAGTTCAGTTCTAGTTCAGTTCTAGTCAGTTCTAGTTCAGTTCTAGTTCAGTTCTAGTTCAGTTCTAGTTCAGTTCTAGTTCAGTTCTAGTTCAGTTCTAGTTCAGTTCTAGTTCAGTTCTAGTTATCTAGTTCAGTTCTAGTTCAGTTCTAGTTCAGTTCTAGTTCAGTTCTAGTTCAGTTCTAGTTCAGTTCTAGTTCAGTTCTAGTTCAGTTCTAGTTCAGTTCTAGTTCAGTTCTAGTTCAGTTCTAGTTCAGTTCTAGTTCAGTTCTAGTTCAGTTCTAGTTCAGTTCTAGTTCAGTTCTAGTTCAGTTCTAGTTCAGTTCTAGTTCAGTTCTAGTTCAGTTCTAGTTCATTCTAGTTCAGTTCTAGTTCAGTTCTAGTTCAGTTCTAGTTCAGTTCTAGTTCAGTTCTAGTTCAGTTCTAGTTCAGTTCTAGTTCAGTTCTAGTTCAGTTCTAGTTCAGTTCTAGTTCAGTTCTAGTTCAGTTCTAGTTCAGTTCTAGTTCAGTTCTAGTTCAGTTCTAGTTCAGTTCTAGTTCAGTTCTAGTTCAGTTCTAGTTCAGTTGCTAGTTCAGTTCTAGTTCAGTTCTAGTTCAGTTCTAGTTCAGTTCTAGTTCAGTTCTAGTTCAGTTCTAGTTCAGTTCTAGTTCATTCTAGTTCAGTTCTAGTTCAGTTCTAGTTCAGTTCTAGTTCAGTTCTAGTTCAGTTCTAGTTCAGTTCTAGTTCAGTTCTAGTTCAGTTCTAGTTCAGTTCTAGTTCAGTTCTAGTTCGTTCTAGTTCAGTTCTAGTTCAGTTCTAGTTCAGTTCTAGTTCAGTTCTAGTAGTCAGTTCTAGTTCAGTTCTAGTTCAGTTCTAGTTCAGTTCTAGTTCAGTTCTAGTTCAGTTCTAGTTCAGTTCTAGTTCAGTTCTAGTTCAGTTCTAGTTCAGTTCTAGTTCAGTTCTAGTTCAGTTCTAGTTCAGTTCTAGTTCAGTTCTAGTTCAGTTCTAGTTCAGTTCTAGTTCAGTTCTAGTTCAGTTCTAGTTCAGTTCTAGTTCAGTTCTAGTTCAGTTCTAGTTCAGTTCTAGTTCAGTTCTAGTTCAGTTCTAGTTCAGTTCTAGTTCAGTTCTAGTTCAGTTCTAGTTCAGTTCTAGTTCAGTTCTAGTTCAGTTCTAGTTCAGTTCTAGTTCAGTTCTAGTTCAGTTCTAGTTCAGTTCTAGTTCAGTTCTAGTTCAGTTCTAGTTCAGTTCTAGTTCAGTTCTAGTTCAGTTCTAGTTCAGTTCTAGTTCAGTTCTAGTTCAGTTCTAGTTCAGTTCTAGTTCAGTTCTAGTTCAGTTCTAGTTCAGTTCTAGTTCTAGTTCAGTTCTAGTTCAGTTCTAGTTCAGTTCTAGTTCAGTTCTAGTTCAGTTCTAGTTCAGTTCTAGTTCAGTTCTAGTTCAGTTCTAGTCAGTTCTAGTTCAGTTCTAGTTCAGTTCTAGTTCAGTTCAGTTCTAGTTCAGTTCTAGTTCAGTTCAGTTCTAGTTCAGTTCTAGTTCAGTTCTAGTTCAGTTCTAGTTCAGTTCTAGTTCCGTTAGTTCAGTTCTAGTTCAGTTCTAGTTCAGTTCTAGTCAGTTCTAGTTCAGTTCTAGTTCAGTTCTAGTTCAGTTCTAGTTCAGTTCTAGTTCGGTTCTAGTTCGGTTCTAGTTCAGTTCTAGTAAAATACAATTTTTATTTAATTTATAGTTAATTATCATACTGCCCTCGTACATCCTCAATCAACAGGATTTATGTAAACATACGAATGGAATTTTTCTTTTCCTACGCTATTTAACAGAATTTCAATGAATCATATTTTATGTTATTCTAATTGAATGTTAAACTTTCAATTGACCTTAACTAACTAACGTGCTGCTAAATATTTAATAAGAAAATTTAAGAGAATTACTTACGAAATTCATTTTCCTACTCTTTCTTTATTTCGCACTCACTCATTCATACTTTCTTGTACTCGCCTATAAACATTTTATAAAACAACCAAATACTCAATACACCGGCACAAATCTATTTAGTTAAGCGCAAGAATACCACCAAGATAAACGTTGGAGTGCGGACAAAAATTTAAAAGAATTTAAGAAAATATTTAAAATTATTTCAAATAAAAAATTAAATATATAATCATAGATAAAAATTACATTTTTTTCTAATTAAATTAAAAGAATTTTAAAAATAAATACAAAATACATTAATTTTAATAAAAATAAATGAAAATCATTAAAATATTATTCCAATAAACATAGAAAAACGCGATTTCTGGTAACTACTTGACAACGAATAATAGAAAAATTGTCATAACAAAATAAAAATAAATAAAGTCTCTCAAAAAATAAACAACAAATTAATACATAATATTACTGCATTGCGATTTATGAATGAAATTATTAATAATAACAACAAACACCCATTTAAAATTATAACAAATTGTTTTACAAGCTAAATCATAAAAACAAAATAAACTTTGGCATTCGTTCATGTTGTTGCGGCTGTTTCTTCCACTTAAACGCTGAATTGTCGCTGAAATTGTGTCTATTTTTATGAAAATAGATTTTGAAAACAAGAAATAGATTTTGAAAATTTTTTTATATTTGTTAAATATATAAAGCAAAATACAAAACAAACAAAATTATGCCACCGATTAAATATACTGCCACTATTGCACCCAATACCGTCAACATTGGTGATAAAGTACGAATCAAAGGAATTTTAATGGATGATGCAAAAGAGTAAGTAAATATAAATAAAGAAATTTTTAAAAAATTATTTTAAAACAATTTATATATAGAAGAATTTCAGTGGTTATTTGAAAAGAAAATTAATGAGTTATTTAAGAAAACATATTTTATGAAATTGTTTAAATTGAGTGGAAAACATTATACAAGATTGTTGTTGTTATAGATAAAGATGAATTATTTATGATAATTGGAACATTTAAATCATTTATTTTTAAGAAATTTTTAAAATACATTGGCAACATAAAAATTAAAAAGATTCTTAATTTGTCCAAGGTAATTTACTCGAAAATTAATTTGTATTAGTCTTCTGATTTATTTAAGCTACAATCCGATTATATCACATCTGCTATGCGAATAATATGAAATAAATCGGATAATGTAAATAAACTTTTGCCGCATTGATTCTTAAGTTGAAAAGTAAGTTGAAAATATCATTCCTAAAAAATTGAAATCGGTTTCCGGGGGGCAACAATATTTTAGTCAATTTAGAAAGGATTGTATCTGAAGAGGATTGAAGACTAAACAGAAACTTACTTAGAACTGAACTTGAACTGAACCTGAACTGAACTAGAACTGAACTAGAACTTAGCTAGAACTGAGCTAGAGCGAACAGAACTGAACTGGAACTGAACTATAACTGAACTAGAACTGAACTAGAACTGAACTAGAACGAAACTAGAACTGAACTAGAACTGAACTAGAACTGAACTAGAACTGAACTAGAACTGAACTAGAACTGAACTAGAACTGAACTAGAACTGAACTAGAACTAGAACTAGAACTGAACTAGAAACTGAACTAGAACTGAACTAGAACTGAACTAGAACTGAACTAGAACTGAACTAGAACTGAACTAGAACTGAACTAGAACTGAACTAGAACTGAACTAGAACTGAACTAGAACTGAACTAGAACTAACTAGAACGAACTAGAACTGAATCTAGACTGAACTAGAACTGACTAGAACTGAACTAGAACTAGAACTGAACTAGAACTGAACTAGAACTGAACTAGAACTGAACTAGAACTGAACTAGAACTGAACTAGAACTGAACTAGAACTGAACTAGAACTGAACTAGAACTGAACTGAAAGAACTAGAAATGAACTAGAACTGAACTAGAACTGAACTAGAACTGAACTAGAACTGAACTAGAACTGAACTAGAACTGAACTAGAACTGAACTAGAACTGAACTAGAACTGAACTAGAACTGAACTAGAACTGAACTAGAACTGAACTAGAACTGAACTAGAACTGAACTAGAACTGAACTAGAACTGAACTAGAACTGAACTAGAACTGAACTAGAACTGAACTAGAACTGAACTAGAACTGAACTAGAACTGAACTAGAACTGAACTAGAACTGAACTAGAACTGAACTAGAACTGAACTAGAACTGAACTAGAACTGAACTAGAACTGAACTAGAACTGAACTAGAACTGAACTAGAACTGAACTAGAACTGAACTAGAACTGAACTAGAACTGAACTAGAACTGAACTAGAACTGAACTAGAACTGAACTAGAACTGAACTAGAACTGAACTAGAACTGAACTAGAACTGAACTAGAACTGAACTAGAACTGACTAGAACTGACTAGACTGAACTAGAACTGAACTAGAACTGAACTAGAAACTGAACTAGAACTGAACTAGAACTGAACTAGAACTGAACTAGAACTGAACTAGACTGAACTAGAACTGAACTAGAACTGACTAGAAAACTGAACTGAGAACTGAAGCTAGAACTGAACTAGAACGAACTAGAACTGAACTAGAACTGAACTAGAACTGAACTAGAACTGAACTAGAACTGAACTAGAACTGAACTAGAACTGAACTAGAACTGAACTAGAACTGAACTAGAACTGAACTAGAACTGAACTAGAAACTGAACTAGAACTGAACATAGAACTGAACTAGAACTGATAAACTGAACTAGAACTGAACTAAACTGAACTAGAACTGAACTAGAACTGAACTAGAACTGAACTAGAACTGAACTAGAACTGAACTAGAACACTGAACTAGAACTGAACTAGACTGGAACTAGAACTGAACTAGAACTGAACTAGAACTGAACTAGAACTGAACCTAGAACTGAACTAGAACTGAACTAGAACTGAACTAGAACTGACTGACTTACTAGAACTAACTAGAAACGAACTACTGAACTGAACTAGAACTGACTAGAACCGAACTAGACTGACTAGAACTGAACTAGAACTGAACTAGAACTGAACTAGAACTGAACTAGAACTTAACTAGAACTAAACTAGAACTGAAATAGACTGAACTAGAACTGAAAAAGAACTAAACTGGAACTGTTAAAAATGAACTGAACTGAATTTTAAATTCAAAAACAAACATTATCTGGTTTTATTATTATCAATTAACCCACAAGTCCGGCTCTAATACCAATTCTAAAAATAACAAAAAACAATGGGAATAAAATAGAGTGTAATGTTTATGGAAATATACCTACTTAATTTAAAAACAAAAATTCCCCAATCAATTTTTTCAGTTACTACCAATAAATTTATATTAACTAATATTATTATTGTAAGATTGAACAAATCTTGTTAAACAAAAAACATTACAATGAATCATTTTGTCAATTACAATTGTTTTATTTCGCAATTTTTCTATTAAGGTGTGAATTTTTTAATTTGATAATGATATGATAAGAATTATTAATAATAAACAACTGTATCCATGTGATAGTATAGAATTTAACCTACATGTTAACCAACTAAGAGCCAGTTTTTAACTAAAAAATATAAAAATTAAAAGGAATTACTTTCTTAAATTATTGAGTATAAATGTTCATTAATTGCAGTTTGATCTATAAGTTGTAAAGTGGTAAAAGGTGAAAAATATTTAATTGTAATTATTATTCAAATCATTGGATTTTTCATTGAAATGTATTACTGATATAATTAAAGGGTTAATTCAGAAATATTCGTTTGGCAACCGATAACGAATGATACTAATAGAATTTTGTATGTGCCAGCAAAACAAAATATTTATCAAATAAATACCAGGTGTAAATATTTTTTTTTTCAAAACATTTGCTAAAAATTTCAAACAATATTGAAATGAACATGGTGATCATACCCAGTGACAATTTTGCGATCATTAACCTGAGACATTTCTTCTTATCATTGAACTTTGCTAACTAATAGCTCTTTATTATTGTTCTCTTTACGTCTATAAAGGAATAACTTTTCTAGCATTCACGTCATTGTTGTTGTAATCAAATTGGTCACTGAAGACATAAATGACAATAATACAATTAAAAAAAATAATAAAATTACTGAAACTGATACCTCGTTTTCAATCACGCAATCAATTTTATGACTTGTACTAATTATGTACATATTTACTTTTATTGTAAGAATAAACCGCGATAATATAAATTGATAATATAGACAACACCCTATTATGTGGTTCAAGATATTTGTATTGCTAAAGATATTGGGATACGTAGAGAAAAAATTACCTACATACATATTTACAAATCCATCGTTTTAAATAAAATCATATATGAAACGATTCAAATTTTCCTCGACCATTATGTCTATAGCCAATGTCTGAGGGTCTAAAACTGAACTAGAAACTGAACTAGAACTGAACTAGAACTGAACTAGAACTGAACTAAACTAAACCTGTAACTAGAACTGACTAGAACTGAATAGAACTGAACTAGAACTGGCACTAGAACTGAAACTAGAACTGAACTAGAACTGAACTAGAACTGAACTAGAACTGAACCGAGACGGAACTAGAACTGAACTAGAAACTGAACTAGACTGAACTAGAACTGAAACTAGAACTGAACTAGAACTGAACTAGAACTGAACTAGAACTGAACTAGAACTGAACTAGAATTGGCTTAGAAAGAACTAGAACTGAACTAGAACTGACTAGAACTGACTAAACTGAACTAGAACTGAAACTAGAAACTGAACGAGACTGAACTAGAACTAACTAGAACTGAACTAGAACTGAACTAGAACTGAACTAGAACTGAACTAGAACTGAACTAGAACTGAACTAGAACTGAACTAGAACTGAACTAGAACTGAACTAGAACTGAACTAGAACTGAACTAGAACTGAACTAGAACTGAACTAGAACTGAACTAGAACTGAACTAGAACTGAACTAGAAATGAACTAGAACTGAACTAGAACTGAACTAGAACTGAACTAGAACTGAACTAGAACTGAACTAGAATGAAACTAGAACTGAACTAGAACTGAACTAGAACTGAACTAGAACTGAACTAGAACTGAACTAGAACTGAACTAGAAACTGAACTAGAACTGAACTAGAACTGAACTAGAACTGAACTAGAACTGAACTAGAACTGAACTAGAACTGAACTAGACGGAACTAGAACTGACTAGAACTGAACTAGAACTGAACTAGAACTGAACTAGAACTGAACTAGAACTGAACTAGAACTGAACTAGACTGAACTAGAACTGAACTAGAACTGAACTAGAACTGAACTAGAACTGAACTAGAACTGAACTAGAACTGAACTAGAACTGAACTAGAACTGAACTAGAAACTGAACTAGAACTGACTAGAACTGAACTAGAACTGAACTAGAACTGAACTAGAACTGAACTAGAACTGACTAGAACTGAACTAGAACTGACTAGAACTGAACTAGAACTGAATTAGAACTAAACTGAAATTAAACTAGAACTGAACTAGAACTAAACTAGAACTGATCTAGAAGATAACCAGAACTGAATTACAACTGAACTAGATCTGAACTAGAACTGAATTAGAACTAAACGATATCTTAAACTTCTTGTACAACTGCATTTGATATGATCATTATCCAACAGACTTCAAAAGGCGAAATTTTGTAAGACACAACATCAATTAACTCTCACTTTATTACTTCAAGACATGAGAAATTCTATCTTCAATCATTTCCAAATTTAGATTTATTAATAAAACATTTTTAAA